ATCAGGGCCCAGAACAAGGATATTAGAGCTGCTTCACGAATGTTACTAACCACGGTTAGAATACACCTGCAACACAAGCTACCTTGATATTTAATGTTCAAAATATTAGGTAGCTGAGATTGTTGAAAATTTGGAAGACTAATGTAGATGTCTTCAAGACTGAATTAACTTATGCTGCAACATTGTGTCCCTAGAGAGGTAGTGTTATCAGATTTTGATTTTGTATATGTTGTAGTTCATTTTTATTTCAGTTAATTTTTATTTTTCCATCGTTTCTGGGTATGGTTATGTATGCTAATGAATTTAAAACAAAGGGAAACCAAAAATTAACTGAAATTAAAAATTAACTGCAACATATTGACACTAACATGTAACTCACCAAAATGTCACCTCTTTCTCCTTAAGTCGCCTAAAGTCGCCTTAAATCGCCTAAAGTCGCCTTAAATCGCCTTAAGTCGCGCAACATTTTGACCAAATTTTCCTAAAGTCGCCTTAAATCGCCTTAAGTCGCCTAAAATTACGGCGACTTAAGGTCCCAGAGTAGGCCTTTTTTTCTCTTTCCTAACAGAATGATAATAACAGTGATCTTTATCAGCCAATCACTATTGATTTTTCTGTCTCTTAATTATTTCCCCCTTGGTAATGATTTAGAAACAGTGGTATAGCTATGGTATTTATATCAGGTCACATTGGCGCCGCTACCTCACCCTTTCTCGTTCAACTGACACGAATTAATGCTGTTTTACCATTTGCTGTAATGGGAGCTTTATCGGTCATTGGGGCTATCCTGTGCTGGACACTTCCTGAGACCCTCGGTAGAAAAACCGCTGAAGTATGGGAAGATGCAGAGGACAGTAAAGGTACTATGGTACTGTTATTCTATTCATTATATACTAAGGTTGCGATAATGACGATTAAATATCAATAAAGTCGATAGAATTGCAAAACAAAAGACAATGAATTATTATAAAATTTCGTCGTCGCTTGTTTACGTCCTCCATAAAACGCGAAATTAAGCATTTTCACGTCGTATTCGTGCAAAAACGGGAAAGAAATGCACAAAAAAGTGTGATGCACGTGCGAAGTTGTTGTTGTGCTAATTAAACCAATTGTTTTTTTGACGTTCTCGTTGTCGTCCGCGTCGTTGGATCTTAAATTCCCTAGTGTCTCAAATCAAAGCCAGCATGATCTTACCACCCTGGTTGCTGGTCGGGCCGGAGCTTGAACCTACGAGCTCAAACCTGGCAGACAGGTGCTCTTTTAACTGAGTCAATCGGGAGGCGGTGATCGGGGCCACCAGATCTACATAATGAACAATTATGGATAACCATAGGTTTTCCTGTCATTCATTCAAAATATTTAGTCGTTTCTGATTGGCTTCAATTCCCCGGCTAATTCTTCATAACCAACTATAGCTTTTACCACGTTTGGAAGAAGCGAGCAAACAATCGATTCGATGGTAACCATCGATCAGCCTCGTTTCCACGCGCAGCAGCGTAGCTGTTTATCTCTGGTTGATATGAAAAATAAAATGGCGTTCACGGCTATCCGCAGACGAAATAGCTGAATTTCTTACTAACTGAACGGGGAAATTGAAGAATTCACAAAATAACAATCACAGAATAACAATAATTTAAACCTTGCGTATAAGTTCAGAATTCAATAATTGTTCAACTCTGAGTAGCTAACAGCGTGACATATACACGAAATCGTGCGCATTCTTATTTTATTTTTACTTCTATTTTTACAGATCCCCCTGTCAAATATGGAGATACAGATAACGTTATTTAGAAAAAAAATAAAGCCGAGAAGTTTCTACCAGTTTAGAGACTTCAACTTAGTTGTTTCCTCTGAACTCAGAAGCATACGATATCAACAAGAAGGTAAAAGTTAAATTTGCCTCTAGTTATATGCTTTATGCTTTGCGCAACAATTGATTTAAATGACTAGTGATAAGGTGCATCAAGACTTTCTACTTGGAAATCCAGAGGAAGCACTTGTAGCCATGTAATTAAAGAAAAATTAAAAAAATGAATGCCTTTAGTTAAGGAAAACAAGGAAATATGTGGGCGACAGCTTAAAAACCAATTTTTAATCGTCTGCCAGTGCCGCACGGCGTCTTTAGTTTATGCGAAAATTTGGACGTACAATAAAATTATTGAATTTAAACTCTCCGAATGATGAATAGAGGATAGCACATTTTTCTAAAACTATTCTTTATTGCGGTTTATGTTTTAAAGCGAATGACACGCAGATTATATCAAGTAACAGCTGAGTAAATGACAATTCGGGTTTTTATCGCAGGACATCGATTTGTGGTAAATAAAGAAATGTGAAACTGAAAATAACTCGTTTTTGTTAAATTGTTAGATTCCAGTGTATTTTTATCACTGGGAATTGTTTCCTACAAGAACAACAGTGGCCAAACCGTATAGATAATACAATGGAAGCTCGCGTAAGGGGGCACTCTCGGGACGCCAAAAAAGGTGTCTACAACTGGAACTGGCCACTTACGAAAGGAGTTCCCGTATGCAGCCACGAGAGGTGTATGGGTAAGGTGGCGGCTGACAAGAGCTTTCCCAGCTGCAAAACTAACACTGATAAATTCATTTTGAACAACGCCGTTCATTGGAGGCTGAAATTTCATTTAAAGGGTCCGCTTACGGGAGCCAATATCTAACTCGCGGCCTTTAATACGGGGATGTTTGCTTACAGGAATGTAGATTTTTGTGTGTGTGTGGTAGTTCAAACGAAGTTTTGTGAAGGTGGCCATTAGTAGAACAGTCAGCTCACGAGCGTGTCCCTTAAGAGAGCTTNACGTACAATAAAATTATTGAATTTAAACTCTCCGAATGATGAATAGAGGATAGCACATTTTTCTAAAACTATTCTTTATTGCGGTTTATGTTTTAAAGCGAATGACACGCAGATTATATCAAGTAACAGCTGAGTAAATGACAATTCGGGTTTTTATCGCAGGACATCGATTTGTGGTAAATAAAGAAATGTGAAACTGAAAATAACTCGTTTTTGTTAAATTGTTAGATTCCAGTGTATTTTTATCACTGGGAATTGTTTCCTACAAGAACAACAGTGGCCAAACCGTATAGATAATACAATGGAAGCTCGCGTAAGGGGGCACTCTCGGGACGCCAAAAAAGGTGTCTACAACTGGAACTGGCCACTTACGAAAGGAGTTCCCGTATGCAGCCACGAGAGGTGTATGGGTAAGGTGGCGGCTGACAAGAGCTTTCCCAGCTGCAAAACTAACACTGATAAATTCATTTTGAACAACGCCGTTCATTGGAGGCTGAAATTTCATTTAAAGGGTCCGCTTACGGGAGCCAATATCTAACTCGCGGCCTTTAATACGGGGATGTTTGCTTACAGGAATGTAGATTTTTGTGTGTGTGTGGTAGTTCAAACGAAGTTTTGTGAAGGTGGCCATTAGTAGAACAGTCAGCTCACGAGCGTGTCCCTTAAGAGAGCTTCCAGTGAAGCGAGGCAAACATCAAAGATAAAAGCAACGGTGCCGCAGTTTATGTTTGAAGCTCCCTGACGGTACGAATTCTTTTTTTTTATCATTTTATTTTTAACCTTAAATTGCGGTGGAGGGGGAATAAATCAACAAATTAATTAAATAATCAATGAAATTAATTGTTCTTTTGGAATTCGTGTTCTCTCAAATTAACGGCAAGCTTCCGTTAACAATTTTCGAAATTAAAACCCCTCTGTGCCGAGTAATTCGACTACAAATAAAACTAAGGTAACGATGTCATTACGTTGCTATGACAAACCCAAAAATTTAGCACTGGTCATAACAAAAGTTCATTTTTGTCAAACACATATCAACAGTCGTTACTGGAAACGTAGTCAATGTTAGGGCTTGGGAGGTATAGCCCCTAAAAAGTCCAGTCGAAGTGCCTTAACGTCATTAAAGAAACGCCCCATTTTGGATTTCTCCCTATGTAAGATAATTTATCGTTATGTAATATATACTCTTACGGTGTCAGGTAAGCTTTACCGAGTAGACTAACACTCGCGTACTGCCGAACAGGTTAAAGGGTAGAGACCATGTGATTCCCGTGGTCGTCCAAGTTGGGGATTGGGAAAATTACCGCTCCGTATGTAAGCTATTGGTTTCAAATTGAATAGGGAAAAAACAAGACTTATTTCACAGTTGTGTAGAAAATTACACTATGTATTATGTTCTAGGGTTATATTACGTTTATGCATATGCTTCCTCTAGGCTGAAACTTTATCTTTGGCTGTCCCATCGGCCATTTCAAATTCTTTATCTGTAAAAGCAAGAAAGTAATACGCTAAGAATATAAAAATATAAGGGAAATCTAAGTGCATCGTAATTAGATAGAACACCCTACTTCCAAACGGCTACAAATGGAACATTAAAGCTTCCTCAGCTCTCACATCTTGGACCATATAAGAAGAGTCCTTTAATAACATAGTATCACACAAAACCTTGGGACACTCCCAAGTTCCTGCTGCCTACAACATCCGAAAGACAACCCCTCCCCCCTTCCCCAGCATCGGAAACGAAGACGGGCGTGTTTTACGAGATTGTATTAAGAGGCTGTGGAGAGTACTGCATTGGCGAGACATGTAGCTAGGATTCTGGAGAAGGGACTGGGCGAACATATCTCAGAAGACATCCCACATCTGGGAAGAGCAGTCCATGCTCTACTATGCTTGAGATCGACTGGGAGAGGATCAATTCCTTCACCAGGTGACCGTGTGCATAAAAAACAAATCAAGGAGGCCATCCATATGAGGCCAGCGCCGAATACTAGAGACGGCATAACTGCATAATCGGAATTTGCAAGCTGATGAGGTGACAAAAACCCTTTGTTTATTTTTTTTTCTTGTAATACAAGTTGTAGCCGCCAAAACCACGTCCATTAAGAACAGATTTTTAACAAACAAAAATAATAAAGTAGAATGGAGGGAAAAACAGAAACTACACAAGTTAACTGACCTTCCTTTTTTTCGTTGTCTTCCATTACTTCAGCGGTTCTTCTTCCCTGGGTCTCTGGAAGAACCCAACACATGATAGCTCCAATGAATGACAAGGCTCCCATTACAGCGAAGGGCAGCACAGAGTTAATACGGGTCATCTGAACTACAAACGGTGAACTTGCGGCACCGATTCGGCTTGCTACAGATACCATTCCCATGCCACTGTTTCTAAACACATTAATAAAGAAAAAAGAAAAAAAAAGAATAATCTCACGTAAAAAGGGCATGTGGCGGGGTGGTAGGGACTGGGGCCCGCTTGAACGTTTAAAATAGAGGAATTAGCTAGACATGCATCTAAAATCACAGTACTTATTTATTGAAAGCTAAAACAATTTATCATAGATTAAAGCACCTCCAACTCTATTGAAGAGATGAAGGTCGTTGGAAAAATAGTATTCACTATTAAGATACTGATGGTCCTGCTAGCCAGCCCTGAATTTGCTTAGCTACCTTAGCGGGGACGATGGCCTCTTCTTAAGTAACGATAATGACAATGGCGATGGTGATGGCGATAGTGATGACGATCACGATGGTAATGGCGATGACGATGACAATGGTGATTGCGATGGCGATGGCAGTGGCGATTACGATGGTGACTGCGATAGCGATGGCAATGGCAATAGCAATGACAATGGCAGTGACAATATGACCATAGCAATGACTGGCAATAGCAATGGCGATAGCGATGACGATGACGATGGTAATGGCAATGACGATGACAATGGTGATTGCGATGGCGATGGTAATGGCAATGACCATAGCAATGTCAATAGCAATGACAATGGCAATGGCAGTGACAATAGCAATGACTGGCAATAGCAATGGCGATTGCGATAAAGATGGCGATGGAAATGCAATGACAATGGCAATGACAATAGTAATGACAATGACAATATCAATGACAATGGCAATGGTGATGGCCATGACAATGACAATAGCAATGACTATGACAATTACGCAATAGGAATGACAATAGCGATGACAATGGCAATGGCGAAGGCAAGTCTGGCGATGGCAATGACGATGGCAATGGCAATGACAATGATAACGATAACGATAACTATAGTGATGATAATGACAATCGCTATTCCATGCCCCTCCCCCCCTTAAAAAACAAACAAGCAAACAAACAAGCGAACAAACAGATGTGTATGCTTCCTTTATTCCAAAGCCAAATTTTCTGCTATCTTTTTGGTGATTACTCTTCTTTGGTCCCCTTCAATTATTTCGTTGTTCTAAGTATGACGTTGTCCCGGATTCGGACACTAATCTTCGTTTATTTTTTTCCATAAAACATTTGAAAATTTTACCTTTTGCAAATATAACTCACCTCACAACAGTTGGAAAAAGTTCAGCAGAGAAAACATACACGGAATCGAAAGAAGTAGTGATAAACATTTTACCCAGGGAGCCAAGTGCTACTCGACCAGCAATATAACCTTTAAGAAACCAATATTTCCAATAGCAATTAGTAAGGACCACATGCCATAGTAAGTAAAGGTGGCTGGTTATGAAAGGCAGCAAACACCAAAGTCAGAAACAGCGGTTCTTATGTTAAAATCGCCCCATGTAAGAAAATCCGGATTCCAGAATCCAGGAAAATTTCTCGCGTGGAATACAGAATCCGGGAAAAATATTGCTTGTGGTATCTGGAATCCTGGGCTTTGGAATCCGGTATAAAGCTCAAGGAATCCGGAATCCCACTAGAGATTGGAATCAAAAATTCAAGTTCCACTGACAAAGACTGGAATCCAGTTCCTGGAATTCCGAATCCAAGGCATACAATGTAGAATCCAAGACTATCTTGGATTCCCTTACATGGGGCAATTGAAAGAATCCTGACGGTGTCCAATCTTTTGTATCACCTGCTCACAAATTGTGACTGGATATTTAGATTAATACAACGTTTTTACTGGTCAAAAATATCAAACTGATGAAAAAGGCCATTAAACGTTGTACACCGCCAAGTCCAAAAAAACATATCACAAAGGAGTCTTGCGGGCCAGTTTAACCATTGCACTCTTAACTGTGATATACCGTATAAATATCGAATAGTCGTTCACTTGGCTTCTTATCAAAATGAGACTGATTGCGCTTTTTTACCTGCGTTATTTGTACCATGAGGAATAAACGAAACTGCCACTACAGAAATTCCTGCGGCAATCATGTAGGCCGTTGTGGTCTTCTTGCGGCCAAATCTAAACACAGAAGTGGGAATTATTTAGCACAGTAAAAACCTTCGAATAACAACCTGCATTTTCCAAAGTTATCCTAAACGAGTTGTTACATAAATGGTAATTAACACAAATTTAGGCTATTCGGGTTCTTAAAAAAGTTCTTAGTTTTCTGAAGAAAAAGAACATTTTCTTTTCATTCTGTATGGTCCTCTGGTTCATCATTCGTCATTTTTCAAACTCTTCCATATGCTGATGTGCAGGAGATACAAACAATATTATTGAACAGTCAACAGTAAAAATTCTAGCTCATATAAATCATATACTGTATTTAACATGTAATTATATCAAATACCATTTTCGACATTGGCGTTTACATTGCATTCCCACGGTTGGTGTGACAAGTCACTTATGATGTCTCCAAAGTTTACAGAATTTTTATTTTTATTGTAGATTTTAGATAATAAGAACCCGTATCAATTTTAGGCCAAACAGGTACTTAATTTTTGTATAATATGTGTATATTTTAAAATTTTAGGTTAAACAGGATCTTGTATAGTGGGGGGTCTAGCTGGCAAATTTTCTTACAAACCAGGTTCTTAGTCTCGGTAATTTTCTGTAATTTAACTGAGAGCGATTGTTCATTCCCGTCAGCTGATGTCTCGTACAACCTCGAAACAAGAAGATTTTCTCAAGAAAAAAAGCGTCGAAAGATTCCCAAATCAACGCTACTCAAAAGGGCTTTTGATTTAATCAGTTTATGAGAAATGGACACACTGTTTACGATTTGAATACGGATCATAAATCTTGAAGAAAATTCTTGCAGGAATTATGAATCCTTAAATTGATTGTATTTAGGTAAAAACAAACAAGAAAGTAATAATAACAGAAAAAGAGCTGTGGATATATCAAGATTAAAACGATTTCGCTTTTGTGGACGGCCAAGGTTAAAGTGTTAGTTAACAACAGATTTAACTTTCGAATATAACTATTATAAATTTCTGCAACTAAATTTAAATAACCTGTTACAGTTGTGGATGACCAGTATATTCCCAGGAATTTCCACCAAGCTTGTAAGAACAAAGTTCAAATAAATGCTTCCACCAAATTCTCCTGAGCTCAAAGAGAGTCCGTAATATACCATACCATTCACAAACCTGTAATGATAGAAGTAATATTACAACGGATAATATTGTCGTATGAGAAAAGTGGAGAGATCATGTTTAAGGACTTTTACGGCTTTCCAGACAATCAAAGAATAGAATGTAATGAATAGATCAACAGAAGAATGGAAGGTTTAACCGTTTTCAGATGTGAAACAAATTGGCGGCACTTTCTCTCTAAATAATAATAATAATAATAATAATAATAATAATAATAATAATAAAAAGGGGCTTAAAAACGCGTTTTACAACACATGGAAGTCTCGATGCTTTTTATGTTATTTAACTAATCTAACAATAAACACGGTTAAAAAGCAAAGTTTTTAACCTCGATTTAAAAGAGTTAACTGTGGAGCACTGTTTGATTGTAATGGGTCGATCATTCCAGAGCTTTGGTGCAATAACGGAGAAGGATCTGTCGCCATAGGTAACCGTTCTAGTCTTTCAGTTTAAGCTGATTGACCGTAGTAAACGGTGAGGCGTTTAGTTAAATAGCAGCTTATTTAAATAGGTCCGTGAGAAGCCATGGAGGATTTTGTACGTAACCAACAGAGTTGGTAGGAGTGATGTGAGCCGACGTTTTTGCTCTAACAGTTAGCCTTGGGGCTGTATTTTGCAACCGTTGTAGTTTCTCTAGCTCATTGGAGGGTATGCTGTGAAGAATGCTGTTGCTTAGTAATCCAGTTTTAAAGAAACAAACGCATGAATAAGATTTTCCTTAGTACATCAAGATAGAAGGTTCCTAATTTTTCCGATGTGATGAACAGATCGTAGGGCGGAGCGACAAATGTTGTTGACGTGAGTTTTAAAACTAAGATGGCGATCAAGTGTGTCCCCAAGGTCTTTGACTTTATACTCAAAAAATTGGACAATCTCCAATCTTGATAGAAGGAACTAGTTTGGCCTGTGAAAAATGCGAGGAAAAGTGCATGAATTATTTCAGTCTTATTTGGGTTACATTCCAGGACATGATATCGTGGATACAAGGCGTAAGATCCTTTAATGCTTTAGCACGATTGCTTTGACTCATAATAATGTTAAGCTAAGAATCGTCTGCTTACATCATTGCATTTAAGCCATGAACCGTAATTACATCTTCCAGTGGAGAAATATAGAGAGAAAATAACACCGGCCCTAAAACGGAGCCTTGAGGGTCTCCACAGGACAAACGACGAGGCTGGGAAGAAAACTTCTCTAACACTATCCATTGAGGACGGTCAACCAGATAAGAAGTTAACCCCTGAAGAACTAGGTTGGAATCGTAGCTGTACAGTTTTTTAGCATTCCATAAAAAAATGGTTATTCTATGCTACAGTATACCAACTGTTAAAACTAAGTACAAAATATGAAAAAAGGTAGAACTCTAAAAGAAAAAAAAAACATATAAAAAAATATATCTATATACATAAAAGGGGGTCACACGCTAGACTTGTTAAGGGCTTCGTTATGTTCTTTGTATTTGCATACAAAGGTGGCTCTCTCCGTGCAAGATGGTCTTGGGGAGGTTGACGAAACATTGCGCGGCACTGTCTTGGAAGGTGCCTGACTATTCTGGAACAATAAGATTCAGTTCATTCGAGGATATTAAATTCCGCTGGCTTGTTCGTACCTAGAGCCAAAGGGACGGTGGCCAGTCTTCGCTACTTAACGCTTTGAATACCATTTTGCACAAGTTGAGCTCTATGTTATAGGCTACGGGTAACCGGCCCAAGTCAAGGACAGCCGACATGGTCGCATAACGATTATAAACAAAGCTGGCGGCTGCAATCTGGACACGAAGTAAGCGGCGAACGAAGTAATCAAGAAAGTAGTCAAGAAGGTGGTGATATAAACAATGTTGTTATAAGATAGTTTAGAAAATACGAAACTTTCGGCTAGTTGTTTCCTGACATTAAATGGAGCAAACCTCTGAAGTTTTCTAATTAGAGAAAGAGAGTTATAACAACTCGACACGTTTAGGCATAGATTACAATCAGTCGACCAGGTGGCCATGTCGTTGAGAGCCTGCTGCAACCGCTTTTCGCTATCTTTTAAAATAGTGGGTTTCTTCTGGAGATAGATTGTTGTGTCATCAGCATATTGGTATGACTTGATAGAACCCAGGCAGTCTGAAATGTCATTAACATAGAGGTTAAATAGTATTGGCCTCAGAATCGAGTCCTGAGGAACACCAAATGTCACGTCAATATGCTTAGAGGTCTTGTCGTCTATTTGGACGAATTGTTTTCTGTCAGTCAGGTAGGAAACAATCAATCTGAAGTTGGCCGTGGAAAAGCCTAGACCACGTAGCTTTCGCAGCACAGTTTCGAAGGCGACAGTGTCGAATGCCTTGAAATAGTCAGCTAACACAGCCATAGTAACCTCACCTCGTTGCATAGCCCGAAGGATGTCATCCCTCATGGCTAATAGCTCTGTGGTGGTATTGTGTCCTTTCCTAAAAGCGCCTAGGGTGTCTTTAAGAACGCCTCCAGAAGTGCTAAAAGATCGGCTTTCTGACGTAGTACAAGGCGCTTTTTGTCAAACACATATCAACAGTCGTTACTGGAAACGTAGTCAATGTTAGGGCTTGGGAGGTATAGCCCCTAAAAAGTCCAGTCGAAGTGCCTTAACGTCATTAAAGAAACGCCCCATTTTGGATTTCTCCTTATGTAAGATAATTTATCGTTATGTAATATAATCTTACGGTGTCAGGTAAGCTTTACCGTGTAGACTTACACTCGCGTACTGCCGAACAGGTTAAAGGGTGGAGACCATGTGATTCCCATGGTCGTCCAAGTTGGGGATTGGGAAAATTACCGCTCCGTATGTAAGCTATTGGTTTCAAATGGAATAGGGAAAAAACAAGAATAAATCGAGCTTATGATCATAATCATAATCAAAATAACTGCAACATATCATTGAAAGTACGATTAATGTATCACTGTAACCGGACTTATTTCACAGTTGTGTAGAAAATTACACTATGTATTATGTTCTAGGGTTATATTACGTTTATGCATATGCTCCCTCTAGGCTGAAACTTTATCTTTGGCTGTCCCATCGGCCATTTCAAATTCTTTATCTGTAAAAGCAATAAAGTTATACGCTAAGAATATAAAAA